TTCTCTCTGAAATAAATTAAAACATATATATAAAATAAAAAGAAAAGAGCAAAGTGGAACTTCTAGAAATAAAAATCCTGTATAATAAAAAGCTAATACACAAATCGACCGAACGGCAGAACAACCAGCGGAATGACTGGTCACTATGATGTGCACTGACCACCAGGGGGCAGACGATCAGCACAGGAGCTGTCCCCTGCAGGTCAGTGCACTCCCACAGGGGGAGCATCAATCAGCCAGAAGCCCTGAGCTGGGCTCATAGCTGGTGAGTGCAGTGGCAGTGGCGGGACTGATGTATATCCTCCCCTCCCCCCACCCAAGGGCTCCCAGACTGCGAGAGGGCACAGGCCAGGCTGAGGGACCCACCCAACCCCGAGTACACCAGGCCTCTGGTAAAAAAATATATTTAAAAAAATCAATGAAAAAACATCTGCAGGTGAGGATTAACAACAACAAAAAATGACTATTGCAATAGGGAGAAGGGTTGAACTCACTTCCTCTGCAACAAAAAGTGGTGGAATTATTCAGCACTGGGGTATCTATTAGGAAAGTACTGCTGATCAACATGATTGGGAGATATGTGTTTGCTAATTGGCACTTACTGAAGTTAGTCTCCGATCCTTCCGCAGAGACTAGGCCCTCTCTTCCATAATGATTATATTTCCAAGATATGGCTCCCAGAGCCTAGAGAAAGAAGTTCCTGGGTAGTAGACTGAAAAGAGGTTGGAAGAAAAGTTACATCTCAGAAGGGCAGAGAAAGAGTGCCCTTTTGTTTTCCAAAGTATATGCCACAAGAGAAGAGAGGTCAGGAAGACTCCTCACTAAAGTTAGTTAAGCTGTGAGGAATGCTAAAGCCATTTTAGGCACTCCATCCAAGCACTTAGCACATCAAATAATTCGATCCTTCTTTTTTCTAGACACATCCATCTTGAAACACTCTCTTCTCCTTCAATCCAAACTGGTTGCTTTCTAGGCCTGATGTACAGCTGTCATCATAGGGGTCCCTTTTCCCCTGTTCCCTAACTGAGACATTCATTTAGTAGAATACATCGATATAGTAGCATGTATTCTCTATCAACACTCAAGACATGGCACATAAAATAAATTTTTGAGAATTCAAATGTTTGAAAATGTATTTTCCACTTTCACTCTTGACAAATCATTAGGATGGGAATAGAATCCTAAGTTAAAAATCATTTTGGCTCATAATTTTGAAGATATATTTCCACTATCTTCTGCTGCTGTTGGGAAGAATAATGATGCTTTGTCCTCAATTGCTTGAATATAAATTCATTTTGTCTCTAACAGCTTTTGGAAAATTCCTGCTATTCCTGGTGATTTGAAATTGTATTCATTGCACTGAACCTCCAGTGACCCCTTTTACTCTGAAATCACATGTTCTGAAGCAATGCAGATGTTATTTTATTAACTATTTGAAATTTTTCTCTGATCTCTTTTTGGGGAACTCTTATGAGTGGAATGTTGGGTCTCATGGATTTATCACATTATTTTCTCCTTTAAATTTACCTTTTTGCTTTACTTCCTCAAAGATTTCCCTGACTTTATAATCCTTTCATTGATTAAACGTATCATGTTAAAAGTACCCTGTCTTTTTCTTTTTTGTACTCTGGAGTTCTTTGTTTTTTATTATTTGGTTGGTTTGTATTTTAACTGCCTTTTAAGTTGGAAACCTTTTCAAATGGGTAATCTGACACTGTCTGTCCATACCTAAGATGTGACACTAGGAACTACTTTGCGGTACACACTAGCAGACTTCTAGGGTGTTAAAACTAGCACACACAGGTTTCATTAGAGAACTTCTGAATGTCAGTATCCTTGTTAGATATTCTGTTAATGTACTGCCCCCCATCATGTCCCTTCTCCAGTCTTCTCTGTTCTACTCTGTGTCTGAGAAGGCTGACCCTGACAACTACACACATGGGCTCCCTAAACCACTGAACTCAAGTGAGCAGGGACTATGAGGATATTGATGAACAGAGGGGGCAAAGGTCAGGGTATTGCCCCCCACACCCCAATTCAATCCCTACTTCAGCATGGACTCTATAGTAGTATCTACAGCTTTCTACACCTCAGTTTCTGCTGTGAGGGTTTGTTCCACTGTCATACTTCTCACTATCCTCAATTTTCCTCCATTGTCCTGGGGATATTATTGTTGCCAGTGGAAATGGGGCCTTTCATGAGTCACAAAGAAAGCATTCCAGGGACCCACGAATGGGAGGATAAGATGCAGTGGGAAGATTTCCTGTAGAAGCACTTCATCAAGCCCGTCTCCAAAAGTTCTGTGCCATTGATTCAGTCCAGTTCAGTCTGCATCTGGCTAGCTTAATCTGTGTTCCCAGCAGAGACCCAACTGACACTGCACTGTCCTACCCCGGCTCATGCTGAGAGTCTGCACGGCTGTTGGCCACGTGGCTGCTATGGTGGCATGGCTGCTACGGAGAGAACATTCAAGCACGTGGGGCAGGCATGTGTTAGCAAGAGAGAGGAACGGGGGCGGGGGAGCGGGGGGCGGGTTGTTAAGCTTGGATCATATTATCTCCATCTTGGGAAGGACTAGATGCTCTTTCAAACTAAACAATCAATTTCCCAATGTTTCACTATCTGGTGTTGGGCCCTTCCCCTAACCAATCCATTTTCTAGATCTTCCGGGTTCTGTGTGCCTTATCCAATCCAATTTTCCCCCCAGGCTAGACAGACAGGCCTTTATGGTTGACATTCTGGCTCTTACTGTGTACGCATGCCTCAAAGTAGAAGAGCTTCCCCCTACGCTTTCTTGACTTCTACTGGGCATGTGTCCAGCAGAGAATGTCTTCTGCTGTTTTTATCCTTCCCTCAGTAATGACCAGTGATGACCCTTCCTGCCCACTTTGGTGATTAGGACCCAAGGGCAGAGCTGCAGCAGTCCCTTGGGGACCGTGTGAAGCTGTAGCTTTCTAATGAAGCAGGCTTATTGCCTGGTTCAGCTCCCTGGTTTATTAGGCTTGATGTCTGTTTTTCTTTGCTCCCTTCCTTTATTAATATCTAGTTCCCTTTGCTCCCTTCCTTTATTAATATCTAGCTACTCGCACTAACATAATGGCTTCCTGTTATTGCTAGTTGCCATGTGACTCGTCATCCTTTATTTGTTCACTTACAGACTGCACTTTCTTCATTAATGCCTCTTCATTTGAATCATCTAGAGCAGTGGTTCTCAACCTTCCTAATGCCATGACCCTCTAATACAGTTCCTCATGTTGTGGTGACCCCCAATTTCATTGTTACAAATTGAACATAATTAAAGCATAGTGATTAATCACAAAACAATATGTAATTATATATGTGTTTTCCATGGTCTTAGGCGACCCCTGTGAAAGGGTTGTTCCACCCCCCAAAAGGGGTCGCGACCCACAGGTTGAGAACCGCTGATTTAGAGTGAATATGCTTTCTTGCCAGGACAGTACCCACAAGTCTTTGAACCTTCAGTTTCTCCAGAGAAGAATTCTGTAATATTTATCTAATAGGGAATGCATAGGCCTGGTTTTAATGCTCACAAAGCAGGGAGCATCGGGATGGGGGTTCATGTTTCAATCTGTAGTATTTAACACACATTTTCATTATTTTATTGAGGTAGTTCTTTCTATCTGCTCTTACCCTGGTGGTCTTGAGATTTATTCAACCTATGAGGTAGGAGGTCACAATTTGATTCCTGGTCAAGGCACATGCCCAGGCTCCATCCCGTGTGGAGTGTGCAGGAGGCAGCCCTATCAATGATTCTCTCTCCCTCTTCCTTCCTCACTGAACTCAATAAAAATATATTAAATAATTTTTAAAAATATGGCAGCAGGGGAGGCTTTTACACTGAGTATGCCAAGTGTTAGAAAGATGAATGGATAGGGTGTGAGCACACCAAAAAAAAAAAAAATAGAAAGATGAATGGAAAGGACCCCAGCATGCCAAAAGCTAGAAAGATGAATGGATAGGACTCCAGCATGTCAAAAGCTAGAAAGATGAATGGATGGGGGCCTGGGGCACCAAGAGCTAGCAAGGTAATTGGATAGAAAAAAATTCCCTCCCCTCCCTATTCATTTAAGAAGAGCAGGCTTGAGCAGGAAGAGAGATGATCCTTGAGACAGAGGGAGATGAGATTTGTCTTTGAGATGAAAGTCCACCATTCTCCCAGGTCAGGTGGCTCTGAATAAAACCTCTTTCCTTTTGCACCATCACCTGCCTCACAAGGTTGGCTTTCATGGCCGCAGGCAGCCAAACCTCCGTTTTATTGTTCAGTTGCACTATGATAGTGGGTTAACCTATTTTCCCTTGCTCTTCTATCAGTTTTTGCCTCATGCTGTTTGATACCGTGTTGTTCTGTGCATGTACATTAAGAATTGCTATCTCTTCTTGGAACAGAGGGAAAAAAACAAAAAGGCCAAATAGGAACATTTATAAAACTTACTGTTTTGTGTTACAAATCCTTTCCTTCTTGCCCTCCCCAAATCTTCCAAACAATAGTATAAGACTTGTTTTTATTCACTTATGCTTCCTGGTATGGGGAGGCTTTAAGGGGAAAGTGCTGACCCTGTATGAGTTAATCCTGCATCCATGGAGACAAGCAGCATTTAGGTTCTGCTGCTTTTTTTCTTCCTTTTACTTTCTTCCACTCAACAAATATGAACTAGGTGCTATGGATTATTAATCTGTGCTTTCAATACATTTACAATATAGTTGGAGACCCTGAGAATTGCAGTGATATTATGGGAAAGTGAGGAAATTGGGTGAAGTGTTTGAGCAGAATAATTAACAGAGCATTTGGTGTAGAGATGAACAAATTAGACAGTCTCTGCCATAAAGGGAAGGTAGAACGCAAGGATTAATAGAAGAATAAAGTAGGAGGTAACATTTTAGACAATTCAAATGTTTGTGCAGGAGCAGTGAACCTGAGACTCAACGACACATTCAGGGGCAGACAAGCCATCCAGTGCCATTCAGTGTGGATGCAGGGGAGGATATAGTGGGAAATTATGCAAGAGCAGACTGTGGATGAACTAGTGTATTTTAAACTTCATCCGCAAAACTGTGGAGAGATTTTCAAGAATTGTTTAATATGAGGTGTGGGATATAAATGGGTTTTGATTATTAGAAGACCACTTGGGAGCCTTGTAAAGGGGGCAACATGGGCAGCAGAGAGAGCAGAAAAGAAGTGGCTGCGGTCCAGTCATCATAATGACTGCATGTTGACAGAGCTTTTACAGTGGCACGGGATCTGCAGATGAAGAGAAGAGAAGAGGGAAGATATTGCAGTGGGTGGTTAAAATCCACAGAATTTGGTGATGAATTATTAGTGTAGAGGAGGAAGCAGAAAAAACACATGAAGAAAGACAATCTAAGATGACTCTTGGGTTTCTGGCTTGGGAAACTGATTTCAAGGGATTCAGAGGTCTTTCAGAGATATTAAATGCACACAGTGATGCTTGGAGAGATGGGATTCAAGAAAAACCAGATTGAAATAATGAGCTTAAGAAATAATATTTGCTTATGTGAGGATACTAGAGGCTAGATGTTTCTAGTTAAGATTCAAATTTAATTGAGTCCCTAATGCTTTTCTTATTTATTTAAATTATTTTTTCTTTATTTTATTTTATTTTATTTTATTTTTCCATCACCCTATATCTTCCCTATACCCTCTTCCACCTCCATCCATGACCCTTCCCCCACACAGTCACCACAACATTGTCTCTGTCTTTCTTATTAGTTGAATTTTGTTCATTAAATTCCACATATGAGTGAAATCATATGGTGCTTGTCTTTCTCTGACTGGTTTATTTCACACTTAGCATAATGTTCTCCAGGTTCATCCATGCTGTTGCAAAAAGATTTCCTTCTTTGTTTTACAGCCAAGTAGTACTCCATTGTGATAATGTACCATAGCTTTTTTATCCATTCATCTACTGATGGACACTTGGGCTGCTTCTAAATCTTGGCTATTGTAAATAATGCTGCAATGAACACAGAGGTGATATATTATGTTCTCTTTGGAAAAGTGTCTATTCAGATCCTTTGCCCATTGTTTAATTGGATTGTTTGTGTTTTGGGTGTTGAGTTGTATAAGTTCTTTATAAGTTTTGTTTATTAACCCCTTATCTGATCTATCGGCAAATATGTCTTCCCATTCACTGGCTTGTCTTTTCATTTTGTTGATGGGTTTCTTTGCTGTGCAAATATATCTGCAGTGCAGGAAGTCCAGGGGAAGCTTACAAACTCCAAGGAGAAAGGTGCTTGGAACCGAGGCTGGATACATAGGAAGGGATATGGGGAAATTACTGGGTCCCTCACTGAACATCCTGAGAAACAACCCACTGGACTGACTGCTCAGTTACCCAGAGGGAGCAGAACTAATAGTAACAGGAAATAGCAAGTGTGTGGCCTTTGAATTATTCATAAAATATAGCTGAATAGGCAAATTTGTGGAGACAGAAAGTAAAATCCTGGTTGAAAGGGACTAAAGAGATGGGGGATTGAGGAGTGATTGCTAATGTGTAATGGAGTTTCTTTTTGGGGTGATGAAAATGTTCTGGAATTCAATAATGATGACAGTTGCACAGACTTGTGAATATACTAAACAACACTCAATACTTTAAAAAAGTAAATTTGGGGTATGTGAGTTAAAGCTCAGTGTTTTTCAAAAAAGGAAAAATATAGCCAACTCTCAGGGCCCAGGTGGCACCAAACAGACCATGTGGGGCATCTCCTTTTCTTAGGACGTCTGGACCACAGAACCATCCTCTGAGCTCGGCTCAGCCCATCTCCCTGGAGACCTCGGGCTTTGCTTAAAACAGTGGCCTTTATGACACTCCTGGTAACCTACACTTTCTCTGATCCATGGCCCCTGAAAGAGAAGGACCAGAGAGAGAAGGTAATCATTTCAACCAGTTCCGATGAAAAGTGTCTACAGCTTCTAGCTGATAACCATTTTCTGTATAATACCAAGACTTGCTCCCTCAAAGAAATCATTCTACACAGAAACACACCAAACATATGTCTACTAGGGAACTGTAATCTCCATCTCCTTCATCTTCATTATGTTTGAAACCTAATAAACTTTTTATTAGTTTAAAAACTAACGATGATACACTTAACTTTGTGTATCATCATTACACAAATTGGAATGAATTTTAGTAAAATTGGAATGAGTTTTCCTTACCAAAAATTAGATACCACGTGTGTTGGACTAACATGACACAATGAAAAGATCATGGTCTTAACATATGAGGTTCACCACTGGTAGGTTGTGGTCTTGGACAAGTATCTTGTAACACTGTAAACCTTTGTTTCTTTAACTCAATGTTGGAGATAATGCCTAATAATCAAAAGATTAAACACCATAAAACATGCAAAGTGTCTAGTAGCCTTTGGCAAGGTGCTTTCAATGAACATTGACTCCATTTCTTATTATGACAAAGGAGGGTACAGTCTCTGGTCCTTTTTCTAATCTCTTGACTCCCCTGCCCATTTTCCCTCCCTCCCTCTCTCTTTCTCTCCTTTATATTTCTTTCAAAATCTGGGGTGCCTGACTCTTGTACCAAAAGAGGCAATAACAAAATCTAAGATTCTATATGATTCTTCGAATGCCTTATTTTTAAAAGAGGAATCAGTAATCTACCCTATTTTAATTTTTACTATGAGTCATGTAAACATTAAGATAAAGATTCTGGTAGCTCGGTGCTTTTCTATTACTTAGGCATAATAATGTAGCTCAGAGGTCTCTCTGGTTCTTTCATCAATTTCATCCAAGCCATGTTCAGATAGGGTATCATTTCCATGTAGGCAAGACAGTTACTTTAATATGCAGTAATAAAAAATAAAATTAAAAAACAAGCAGAATGCAAACAAGAAAATAGGACACCTTTTTAATAACATGCATTGAATGAGGATGTTTTCTTTCATGAGAGTATATTACTTGACTTTTTGCAGGGACAAGGTCATTAGATTTAATTTTGAGGAACCGATTACATTTTTCTAGCCAGAGATGGTTTGATTTGACTGAAGTCTGGTTAAGATGCAAAGAGGCTATTAAAAATGATTTCCAGTATTTTTTTTTCTAAAGAGCAGTCCATTAATTGCTTGCGAATATTCATCCCTCAAACTTCCTACTCTATTAGGCTCAAACCAGAGTTGTAAGATTGTGATGTTTTTATTGATATAATTAATAACAAATGTTACTTGTTAACTTGGTTATCAACAAATTGGACAGTTGACAAATGTACTCAGGGCCTTGCTCCAGTGAATTTAATATAGATATGAGGCAACATATCGACCTCAAAAAATGAAATCAAGAACATTACTCTGGGAGGGGGAAAAAAAAACAGGTAAAGAAAGCACTTTACCAGGTTTTGGAAAAGCAAAAAATAATGATTTTTAAAACTAATTCTTTTTCGGTTTCTCTGAACACCATACTCAAATAATTTAAGACATCTGTTCAATATATAATAACATCAATTGAAATGTTAAAATATAGTTTAAAATACCAGAAACAAACAAACAAAAAACCACTACAAAAGCAATAATATGCAATATGTAGAGATTAGAAAATGTAGAAAAAACAACAACACACTACTTTGCTTCACTCCTCATTCTACAAGCAAGAAAATCTAGCTCTTGTATAATCATGAAATCTAAGGAGAAACAGCAGTGAAATCTTTCTGCCCTATTATAATTCTACAAATTGTAACCTTGAAAATTGTACTAAAATGAGCACCAATGGATGTCAATTACAAAAAGGCATAGGCAACTAAATTCCCAAATGTAGTCTAATGACCCAGAATAAGATTTTTTTCTTTCTTTATTGATTAAGGTATTACATACCGTATTTGCCGGCGTATAAGATGACTGGGCATATAAGACGACCCCCTAACATTTCCACTCAAAATACAGAGTTTGTTATATACTCGCCGTATAAGACTACCCCCTCTTCCGCACACCTTCCACACACCAAATAAAAGGTAAAACAATATCAGATTTGATTTTAACATTTTAATTTATATTCAAATGCTTATGACATGCAGGAAAACTGTCACAAGGCTGTATGTAATCAAACATATACATAAAACAGTGCAAGTTTATTACCGGTAAACATACCGGTAATTCACTAAAGAAAACACACTCTATAGACTGGTACCGTCGATGCTTCTCAGGAACACAGGCAAGCAGCCCACAACCTAGAGGGACTGTCAATGATAGAAGTAAGATAACAAATAGAGGGAGAGAGCAAGTGCCGGGCAAGTCCCTAGCAAGTTTGCTGGCATGACACTTTCACCTTAAAAGCCTTCAAACTCCTCTTCATCATCTGATATTAAAAGTTCATCAACGACATCTTGGTGCCATGATAGGGATGATAGGGGTTTGACTGGTCGACATTTTCTATGCTGTACTGTACAATGGGGCAGTATTGTGGTTGGCTGTTGGCTGTATACAAAGCCTGATTTGATTGGTCCCTGCTCCCTGTTTGCCCGCCCTGTCACTATAGCAGTCTGGTCCACCCTTGCATCAGCAAAATCGCATAACAGCCGAGCATACACCCAGCAGCGCTGCTGATGCCTGAACGGTATGTGGAATGAAGTGGGCGGGCATCGGGAGGCCACTATGGCACGGGGCAAGCACTATGGGCAGTCTATCTGAAGTGTACCTGGCGTATAAGACGACCCCCCACTTGGAGGCATATTTTTCAGGGCCAAAAAATCGTCTTATACGCCAGCAAATACGGTATGTGTCCTTATCTCCCCATTGTCTCTCCACGACCACACACACACCTCACACCGCTCCCCCTCCCCCAAAGAATAAGATTTTTAAAATCAGGCTACATTAATTTGGAATTTGTCCATTGGCTGAATGTATGTTTATTTTCATATTATTTGAAAGAAAAATCAGAATGTAAGCAAGGATTTTTCTTTTATTTAAAGAAATAGACAATTTTCCAGTTTTAAGCACTAACCTTTACTGTATTGACCCATGGTGCATATGAACGGACAGAGTTTGGATAGCAGGGGAGGTGGCCACTTGTGTACACTTGACCAGACATAATCCCCAGGCAGCTAGAAAGGAAATTGGGTTCCATGAGGCCAGAGTGACTGTTTTATCCCATCTTACAAATAGGAACTGAAGCTGAGAGGTTACCTGTGCAAAATCCCACAACTGGGAACCAATTCAAAGAATTGATTCTAGAATTCTAATGATTCCAATTTTTGCCTCCAAAGCCCGCATTTTTCCTGTGAAGCCATCTTCAGAAAGACAATGCAAAATTCTTATAGAAATACCTGCTCAACAAAACACCTCATGGTTGACGCTCCTCCAAGAAAAATGAGAGCAGGCCAGGGTGGCTCAAGGTTCCCGCCCCTCCCTGCTCACGGGTGCCTCTACTGAGGCTGTGTGTTTTTAAGGGGCAGCTGGAAATGAAAACGCCCAACTTCCCTCACATGGGAAGGTCGCCTGTATATACACACACATCACTGTTATGTACTGCGTGGGGGGGTTCAGAAAAATAGGATACAGTCCTGGTTAACCAGAGGCTTATAGGCTGATTAGAAGACAAGGTGAATCATCCTTGCTTTTCCCCCTCAAATATCAATATAATGGGAATTTCAGGAAAGTCGAAAGATACTTTTGGTGAAGAGGACTTTCAGATGTCCTATATAACTAACTACATAAGTGGGGATCAAGCTCACGGGTATTAAGGATCTGTGGATCTGTGTAGGTGTGACAATATTACTTCATTCCTTTTGCTAACCCCCCTTTCTTGTTTTTAGTACTTTCACACCCCATACTGCCCACCTGGAGTCCCCAACTACCTAAGCCCTACCTCAACTGTGCAGAACAATTTTATGCTCAATATCTTTTTTTTTCTTCTTTCCCTTCAAAACCACCAGTCCTGTTTCCCCCTTCATAGTACTCTGCTCTCTCCTGGAAGATTCAAACTTAAGTATCTACTCTCCCAGATAAAAATTATGCTTCATCCTGGCCAGCATGGCTCAGTGGTTGGGCGTTGACCTATGAACCAGGAAGTCACAGTTCAATTCCTGGTCAGGGCACATGCTCAGATTGTGGGCTTGGTCCCCAGTGTGGGGCATGCAGGAGGCAGCCGATCAATGAGTCTCTCATCATTGATGTTTCTACCTCTCTCCCTTTCCCTTTCTCTCTGAAATTAATATATATATATATTACATATATATATATATTAAATTATGTTTCGGTGGTTTAGTGAGTTACTGTTGCTGGCAACATTAAGCATCAAGATCAAGTTAGGCTATGTAGATATTTTTAGGAAGATCACAAAAAATCACTTCCAATGGAGTGCTTATTATGTATCCTTGCTCAGATCTTATCTCAGGACAATGGCTCCTAGACCAAGTTATCTCGGGAATTTTTTTAATTAAGTTTATTTTAAAAATAAATAAAACTGCCTTAGCCAGTTTTCTCAGTGGTTAGAGTGTTGCCCCAGGACTGAAAAATCCTGGGTTGGATTCTAGTCAAGGGCACCTACCTCAGTTGTAGGCTCCATCTCTAATATTTTAAACCAGAACTAACTCGACCTTTGTTCAAGTCTTCTTTTTTTTAAGTTAAAAATAAAAAGAAGGCCTGAGAAATCTTGCTTAAATTAATAAAAAACAATTCATTTTAGACACTTCAAATGTTTCATAACTTCAAATGACTCAAATTCCTAGTTATAGATTTACTTTGGCTTTATTTTTGAATTTTCATTGTATTTTATAGTTACTGATTCTTAATATACTGAAAACTGGGAGGTCAATGCATTTGAGGTTCTACTATAGCTCTACCTATATAAAGGAGAAAAATAATCTTGTAGGTAAATCATATCTTGGATAAAATGTGAAAAAAAAGAAAGACTAAGCTAGAGTTGCCATTTAAGTACATATTACAAAATTTCAACAAATCCTTGAGACCCACTATGTAGTTGTTAAGCTATTTGCCTGTTGAAACCAACCTCAGTTCATTTCTATGAACTTGCAAGGGTTTCAGATCCAAAATAAGGCTTGCTTATGAGCATCAGTAAGAAACAAAAGCTAACTATAACCACATAAGCATCATTGGCTCTGACATTCCCTAAGAAATAACTCTCCAAGGAAAAGATTGCTCCAGCAACTCTATTTCCTAAATCTCAACAAGCGACTCCTTTTGCTGTATAAAATAAAGCATTTTGAAATATAATTAAGTTGGGAGAACTATAATCTGGGGAAAACAATACATCTTCTATGGGAAAGTACATACCATAAGGACTAAAGTTTATGGTGAATAAGTCATTCTAAATATGAAGATTGAATAGTAAAAATTCACCAATATGTCTTCATCACTGTCTAAGGGACTGGTTAATTCTCATTTAGAAATAAAGTCCTATAATTTTCACTATGATTTTATTAGACTCAGGAGGTTGCATGACTTCCCACTCTAGAACATTGGAGTTACCAAATAGCCTTGTAATATTGATTTGATTTTGTAAAGAAACTCCAATAAGAAACACAATTTACTGACCACCTCCATGGGATGCTAGTGTATTTCTTAGTTATTTTTGGTTATAAATTAACAAATTGGTATTATTGTCTATAAATAAATTCTTTCAGGATGATTCAATATTCCAGAACTTATTTACCCTGACTAAAACGAGGAAATTTGTTTTCAGTATCTACAAAATGAAGGATATGTGATACCCCCAGAAAGATAGCAAGTTTTGCTCAGTGGTTAGAGTGTCGCCCGAAGACTGAAAAATCTGGGTTGGATTCCAGTCAAGGGCACCTACCTCAGTAGCAGGCTCCATCTCCACCCCAAGTCTGAGCGCATGCATGAGGCAACCAATCAATGTGTCTCTCTCACATCCATGTTTCTCTCTGTGTGTCTCTCCCCCTCTCTTCCACTCTGGCTAAAAATCAATGGAAAAAATATCCTTGGTTGAAGATTAACAAAACAAAAAAAGATGGAGACACCCTGAGACTCAGGCTCTGAACAGTGGCCCTCCCTTTTGCATGGCACTTTCCTCATTACCACAGCTAGTGTTCATTTTTAAGATGAAGCATCATTACTTTCATCCTTTTCACATACATGCTTAGGACTAATTTTTACTGTCCTAGTCTCACTTTGGGAAGCATAAATCACCCGCATATTTATATGGATGTGTTAGGAAGCACATTTATAGTCCAGTTAATTTGAATAATATGTATCAAGCACGGTTTCAAAAGGGAACAATGCCCTGAAATGAATCCTATATAATAAAAGCCTAATATGCTAAGTGTCTGGTCGTCCAGTGGGCCATTCAACCAATCAAAGCGTAATATGCTAATGATATACTAAGGCTGCTCAACTGCTCCCTATGATGTGCACTGACCACCAGGGGGCAGACAGTCAACCAGTCGACTAGTCACTATGACATGCACTGACCACCAGGGGGCAGATGCTCTGACTAGTAGGTTAGCTTGCTGCTGGGGTCCGGCCGATCAGGACTGAGTGAGACAAACCAGACACACCCTGGAGCCCTCCTGCGGTCCCTTCCCAGCTGGCCAACCTCCTGCGTCCTTCCTTGGCCCTGATCGTGCACCAGTAGGGTTCTTGGGCCTGGTCTATGCCTTCTCGCAATATAGGACCCCTCAAGGGATGTCGGAGAGCCGGTTTTGGCCTAATGGCAGAACAACCGGTCACTATGACATGAACTCACCACCAAGGGGCACACGCTCAATGCAGGAGCTGCCCTCTAGTGGTCAGTGCACTCCCACAGGGGGAGTGCTGGCTTATGGCTGGCAAGCACAGAGGCGGTGATGGGAGCCTCTCCCCCTCCATGGCAGTGCTAAGGATGTCCAACTGCAGCTTAGGCATCCCCTGAGGGCTCCCGGACTGCAAGAGGGTGCAGGCTGGGTTGAGGGACATACCCCCCAAGTGCACAAATTTTATGCACCAGGTATCTAGTCAATAAATAAAAGGGAATAACTAAAAAAAATACATGATGGGGCTCCCATTTCTGGAATGGTAAGGACTATATGTGGGATGAAGAGATATATCAGTTGCCACAATACAAACATTTAGGGCATTAGGGGTGACAAAGCCCAGTCTGGGGCTCAATTCATAACTTGCTTACTCACAACTACAAAAAAGTAGAAAGGAACTAAACCATTCCAGCTAACAAGATAAAGGACCAGCCC